CGTTTTGATGAATTGCCAAACCAAACTGAGAATAAATCACTTGACAGCTGTTAAATCGGTCGCCATCTTGGAAAGTAATGCCAACTTAAACTTCTATACATGGGGAAAAACACTCTTTATATATATATATATATATATATATATATAATTGGTTGTTTTCTTAGAATTTTTCATTTTAATCATTCATGAATGTTATGCACATTTTTCCGCAGACTTTTAACCCTTAAATGCATGATTTTTTTTTTTTGAGTTTTAAAAAATCATTTTTATAAGAATGTAGTCATAGGTTATGTAAAAAATAAATAAAAAATTTCGGGTAATAATATTGAGCAATTATATTTCGAAGAAAGTTGTTTGTGTGTGTGTGTGTGTGTAGACATTTGGCAATAAACAGTATTTTCCAGTGTTCTGGCATATATCAAAAAAAATTTTAATGCAACAAACAAGCAATGATCATCAAACTTTGCTTACTGATAACAGATGAGAAGTATTTTTTAAATTAGATAAATCGCTCCTTTTTAGAAACTCGAAATTAGAAAACACCTCTCCAAGCAACACTCTGAACTTTATCACGCACTACATTCAAATGCTAAATATACACTGGTGTGCAAAAATTAAGGACGAAGTCGAAAAATTAGCATATCAGCTGAACGAAGAGGTAGAGCGGACAGAAAGACCAATCAGGAGATTAAGTAAGGTGATGTACGGTAGCACATGCGCAGATATGCAGGTAGACGTAATGGGGAGTGTCTGAGTAGTATAAAGCATGTTGTCGGTGTAAGATCAGTATTTCTGGCAAAGAGATTGCACGCCGTATAGCAGTTAAAATCACAGTGTGGTAGCGTAATGGTTATGGTCGCGAACTCGTGGCTAGAGTTGCAAGTCCTGGTACCACTGAATACCCCCCGTATAGAGGGAGCCGATGCTCGTTGAATCTGTCGAGGCTCAATATCCCCCCGTTGATGTGGTAGTTAGGTGAAAGAGATACCAGTTTAGGTGCCATCCTCGTCACTTTACGGTGGTTCAAAATTACGGGGTCCATCACCAATAGCCCTTGTGTTGCTTTTTAGTGTGACGCTAATATAACTCTCTCCCTCATTTATCAATGTAGAGTTCAAGTAAAAGGCCATATTAATTAGAATTTCATGTATCTAAATTGGATATATAGGGTGACCAAAAAGTATGACTACACCTTCAAAATTTAATTAAAAATAATCAAAGGTTTCACTTACAGTTTTTTTTATGTTCCATAAAAAGCAAAGATTTAAGTTTCTGTTTAATGAAATACGAATTAGATGGCACAACGTCCATGTTTTAAAAAATTCTCATTTCAAAATGGCTTCCCAGCAAGGACAAACACAAGTTGTAGTTTACAAGTTTACTGAATTCAAAACAGCAACACATGTACAGCGTAAATGGGGCACCAACACACTGAAGTTTGGAAGCCATGGCCACCTAGATCTCTAGACATAACACTTTTGAACTTCTTCTTGTAGGGATATGTGAAAAACATTGTTTACCCATCTTCAATTAATGACACTGATGAAATGATGTCAAATTACAGAGACCATTCAGATTGTCGATCCTGTAATGCTTCATAGAATGTAACTAGAAATCTCGTATGGACTCTATGTAATGCCCGCAACTAAGGGTGTACATACTGAAATCCTATCCTAATATATATTATAAACGCGAAAGTTTGTGAGGATGTTTGGCCATCTTTCACGCAAAAACAACTGAATAGATTTTAATGAAGCTTTACAATAATATAGCTTATAAATCAGAATAACACATAGGCTATAATTTATAAAGATATTGTGTGAAGTTTTCAAAATATAACGACAGTTGTCAAGAAAGGAAATAATTCTGCCATTTGCAAAAAAGCCCGTGACAGCATTCATCTACCTTTTCTATCCCTTTTGTTTTGTCTACGCCATGCCTCCGTGCGCTCTGGGTTTTAATTTATTCCATTCATCAGTGTAATTACTATTTTTTTATTTCATAATAAAACTAGATTTCGAAGGGAGAGGTGGTGGCAAGATTTTAACATAAAATAAATACAACAAAAAGTGATATCAATGTATTACACTTCCTGATATAAATTATTTACACTATTTTAAGTGTTCATTACACAAAATTTGTAACAATGACAGTGGAAAGAAAAACTATGAAATTAAAATAAAATATCAAAATGTTTTGATCAGCTAGTTTTTTTTTTCTTTTTGAATGTTTTTTTTTCAGTACATGTAAATATCTATCTACACTTTCCCCATACTGTTTTTTATAACTTATATCTATATATCTATATATATATGTTAATTCAAGCATTAAAAAAAAGCAATCGTTTCAATAGCTATATGTAAATTTTTCTTTCATTTATTACTTATAGAAAATGGATTTTAATATATATATATATATATGTTTCTTAAAAGAATTATTTCTATTATTTAATTACTAAATTATTTGTTAATTAAAAAGTACATCGTCTATTATTTTGGATAAAAATACATTTCAGACATTTTTAAGCTAACTATACGTAACGATTGATTGATTCATGAAAATCTTAAATTTATATTTTTTAGTTTCTTAGAAACTAACTATTATTTAAAAAATGATGAAAGTTTTTTGTTTTACTCTTGACATTAGAATCGTTTTCTTTTTATTGCTTCACATTAATAATTTTTTAACTAACGCAATATTGTTTTTTAAAAGTCATACATCGAAATTTGAAGCTATATTTCATCTGTGAGGGTGAGGGGAAGAGGGAACAGTAATTTTACACTGAAAAAATCCCGTGTTATGCCGGGCTAGAGGGAAGGGGGGAAACCTGTCTTAAATTGAAAATATGTGGAACAAATTTCGAAAAACGGAAATTTAACGAAATAATTTTAGAAATCACTCACATTGCGCGCGTACAAACACACACACACATAATTGCTGGCGTCATGAGGGAAAGAGAAAGCCCGTGCAAAGCCCCGGGTGATGCAGTTAGTAGTGCTATAAAGCAGAGGTCGCCAAAGTGGTGGTCCGCGAGAAAATTTCGTTGGTCCCCAGAAAAATGTGGAATTTACTTACGCATTACGTTAAGTTATGTTTTAAGATGCATTGAAATAATTCAATTCATAACAATAATTTAACACTTAAAAATTTCTATTAGTGGTCCGTGGCAGGAATTAACTGGTCCGTGAGGTCAAAACGTTTGGCGACCACTGCTATAAAGCATTGTAAAAAACTTTTATATTTTCTTTATAGAATAAATAAAGCAGTAATTGAATATATAAAGAGTGTTTTTTTTCCAGGTATAGAAGTTTAAGTTGGCATTACATTCCAAGATGGCGACCGATTTAACAGCTGTCAAGTGATTTATTCTCACTTTGGTTTGGCAATTCATCAAAACGATCATCAAGCAAGGTGTAGATTCGTCGAATGGGCCCAAAACGAGATTGCCGTTGTTCCCGATTTTCATAAACGAATTTTGTTCAGCGATGATGTGCACTTCTGGTTGAATGGCTACGTCAACAAATAAAACTGCCGCATTTGGAGTGAAGCTAATCCACAAGTGTATGTCGAAACACCGTTACATCCAGAAAAACTGACTGTTTGGTGCGCTTTATGGGCTGCCGGACCACTTCTTCAAAAACGATGAAGGCCACAACGTTACAGTCAATGGTGATCGGTATAGAGCCATGATTACTAACTTTTTCATTCCTGAATTGAACAATCATGATGTCCAGGAGCTGTGGTTCCAACAAGACGGCGCAACATGTCACACAGCTCGTGCCACAATCGATTTATTGAAAGACACGTTTGGTGACCGCCTAATTTCACGTTTTGGACCTGTAAATTGGCCTCCAAGATTTTGTGATTTAACACCGCTAGACTATTTTCTGTGGGGCTATGTAAAGTCATTGGTCTATGCGGATAAGCCACAAACGCTTGACCATTTGGAAAACAACATTCGCCGTGTTATTGCCGATATACGGCCACAAATGTTGGAAAAAGTCATCGAAAATTGGACGTCCAGATTGGACTACATCCGAGCCAGCTGTGACAGTCATATGCCAGAAATCATATTTAAAGTGTAATGCCACAAGATTATCTTTCGAATAAAAAAAATTCATGTCAATCGAATAATACATCGTTGTTTTATTGCAATTTAAAGTTCTATACCTCTAAAAAAACACCCTTTATATATATATATATATATATATATATATATATATATATATATATATATATTGTAATTAATACAGTGAAATACGTTTAACGCGAAAACGCTTAAGACGAAATATCAGCGAACGCAAAATAATATCCAACGTCTCTACAAACTACTATGTATTTTTATGCATTCCCCCCTTTACGTGAAACGAAAATTGCTTAACACGAAAAGATTTCCTTCTGGAAAACAAAGTGCGGAAAACACTAGCTGCTGAGGCGAAGTTTAAGGGGGGAGGTGAGAAAGAGTTTCTGTATTATTGAACTGTCCTACTGTATCATGGAAAGAATTCGTTGTTTTAGATGATAATGTCTGTACAACCCTAATTATGGCAGATAAATGCGTTTTGGAGTTTGTTTAATGCTCAGAAAATACCATTGAGGTGAATTCCGGCTACGAAAATTAAATGAATAACGTAGCACTTGTTCTCGCGTCATCCGAAAATGAGGATGATCATCAAAAGTATACACAGTTATTTAGACGCACATTCCAATGGTGAAATGAATAACAAAATGGACGACATCCATCGAACAATTTGCTGATAATTTGATGCTAAAAAAGACAATGCAAAGAAAAATATCACATTATTTTCCTGAAACTTAACAAGTGTTTTTATTTTTTCCAATTCCTACTATCACTTTCTTCCTATATATATGTATATATATATATATATTGTTCAAATTTTCAATCGTTAATAAAATACTTTCTCTTCGTCCATTCAAATTCAGATAAATTTTCTTAAACTAGTTCGACAGCATATATAGAAAGGAAAATCGTTTGTTGTGTCCCTGTAGCGCAATGGGTAGCGCATTGAACTTCTAATCCAAAGGTCATGGGTTCGTATCCCACCTGGGATGGCCTAATTTCTGAGAATGTGATTTCATTTTACTATACTATTTTATTAGAATAATTAAATTTAATTAATGAATAAGTAGTAATAGACAAAAAAATAGTCCAACACCATATATAGAAAGGAAAATGGGAAATTTCAAGGAAAATCACTTTCTATTTTGTCACTTAATATTGTGATTCTATCATATGTATATACATATTTATTTTAATTGTAACTATTAATTAAAAGTAACTAAAATAAAATATTTCTTTGTTGACCTAAGTAGGAATCGACTTAAACAAAAAAAATTATACATTACTTGTTTTTAACAAAACTTGGAACATTTTGTATTTAATTTCATTTCTTCTGAATGTTTTTGTTTCATTGATTTTTATATCTGCTTATATACATATCTGTGTCAGTGGCCTTCAAACTGTGTTCCACGGAACCCTGAGGCTCCACAAGGCATATTCCAGGGGTTCAAGAGTCACAATTAAAAAAATATCGAAAAGATAAATATGTATGCAAAAGGGATTCATGTTGCGTATGAAGTTTGTATAATTACAAATATCTATAAATCTCATCCTTTCCATTAAAATTGTGAAAATTTTATTTATATATAATAACTTGGTTTTGCAACACTTTTTAAACTTTTATTATAATATGATAAAATAATATTAAAACGCGCGTTTTATCTTTTTATATATTTCCTACTAGATTGTTAATATTCTATTGTTTTTATACTCTTTATTAGCGCAATGTCTTTCAAAACTAAACAATTTTTTCTAATAGAAAATGTACTTTTTTTCTGCATTTGGGAAAAAACACCTATAAATGAAGGAGGGGTAACAACGTATTAACATATCAACAGATTCGATGTTAAAATCTAAATTTAAGCAAGAACAGCTCCTAAATTTTAGGTTCCAAATTCATGTAAGAAAAACGCGCAGTATTTCTCACATACTATAATATTTTAATGCCATTCAGAACATTTTGTGTAAAGGTAATATATTTCTTAACGTGAGTGGCTACAAAATCAAAGTATAAAAACAAATTAAACTCGGAATATGTAATGCGATTGTATTTAATCTCAAAAGACCTGGACCAACAATTTGTGCGAAAAAATCATGCACAAAACCCAGTTATTAAATGTAAGGCATGAGATGGTGATGCTTGGATCACAAATTAGTATTGTATTGAAAAATCAGATTAGAGAATTTTTTAATAATAAATTCAATACTTTTTTTAATTGTGCCTTTACATAAAGTATCTATAACACGTTAATCTACTTTAAATATTATTTTGAGGTATATTCTGCTAAGTATATATATAGCTATGGAATGGGGTTCCATGAAAACACTTTCTAGTTCTAGGAGTTCTACAAAAACACCTTCAAATTCTAGGGGTTCCGTGAGTTGAAACAGTTTGAAGATCACTGATCTGTGCGAATCAAATATAATAATTAACATCATTTTTTTTAATGTATGGGGTTTTTTTGCGATATTCTTTAACACGAAAAAATATTTCTGTCCCCTCACGTTCAACTCGTGTTAAAAGAATTTCACTGTATTTGAAAGAGTAATACTTTTCGGACACCTGGTATATTCAATAAGAAATAAATGATTCAAGTACTTGACTTTTTTTCAAAATCGATTGATTATTAGCATCGCACTTCAAAGCAACACGAGCGGCCGTGGTAGCCTAGTGGTCAAGGTATCGGATCGTGGCTGACATGTCACGAGTTCGAGCCCTGTACACTAAAGACTCGCCGTGTAGGGGAGCGATGCAAGTTAAATCTGTCGAGAGCTCAAATGTCCTCCCGTTGGTGTGGTGTGATAGTTCGGAGAGGGGGTGCCAGCTCAGGTGTCGTCCTAGTCACTTGACCATGGTTCAAAATTACGAGGTCAGTCGCCAAAAGCCTTCGTGCAGCTGAACAGTGCAATGTTAATATTTACTTACTCACTCGAAACAACACGAAAGCTACTCCCTTGTAGAGGCGAGCCGACGTACACACATATTGCCAGTGATGGTGACTACAAAAAGTACTGATTAATTAATTTTTTTTCGCCAAATTGAACGAGGCTGTAATTTTACTCTTGTATTTTACGCTACTCCTGAATAAATTTGCATTCCAATCTCTCATTTTTCATAGTGCTATAGTTTATATGTTCAGAACTGTACTTTTCATTATTGAGCAATTTAGATCTATCAGTACTTTGTCTATACATAGACCCGAATTTTCCGAATGACAGATCGGTTTTTTCTATGCTTTTATCTAAATTTCATATGTCATCTAGAGTTCGGAAATCACACCACTGTAGAGTAAACACATTTATTGTGACAAGGACCAAATGAACAAATACATCAAATGCTTCGTTTTCATCAGAAAACATTTCTCAGGTGCACATTTTAATGGCTGAGAACGTCTTCATGTATGCATGCGTGAAGAGTGAGAGTATGTATGTAATCACAAATAAAATTAAAAAAGGATGCATTTAAAATTATATCAAAGGAACTATAATAAACTATTAACAAATATTAGAAACCTGATAATTTAAGCATCAATTACACCAAAAAATTAATAGAGGGAAACTGTCACAATGAGAAACATTGATAAGAAATATAGAGGTAATGCAAGCAAATGAATTTTTTAAAAGTAAAAATAGCAAAATTCTTTAATTTATAAACTTTATTTCAAAATAAAACTGAACGAAATTAAGAAGAAAAAAAATATTCATACATGAAATTATAAAGTGTTATGTAAATCGAAAATGTTAAATTGAAATAAGATATCAAGAAAATGATTGAAATAAAATGCTTTTCAGCTTAAGGCAGTGTTTCTCAAACTTTCAATACTGGCGACCCAATTTTCAATCATAATTTTTGTCGCCCCCCCCCCTGTACAACAATAATGTATTTACTGCAATAAAAATGCACTTTGACGATAAAGCTACAATGCGATCTCAATTATAAACTGTATAAGTATTAAATTTTGTATATGTTACTTTTAAGTAATATATATTTTAAGAAAATTACTTAAATATATATTACTTACTTATTATTATGTTATTTTCCTTTCTCTAATTTTTAAATTGGAACAGATCGCAAAATGATATATTTAATTAAAATTTATTTCCTTCAGCATCCATTTCTCAAAGTACAAATATCATTAGAAAAATAGTCTAGTCTATGTTGCTCTCTATTACATCTGGCATTATCGGGTACGTTTGCGTGAGTCTGGAACATGAGTCCTATCGAACGTCTGCGCAAAACATGTAAAAATGCTTTTCCTCGTACGATTCCTGTCAGTTTTGGTCGACTCGATACTCCTATAGCTACCGAATCTAGCTTGAATGTACATTTTTTAATTTGTACATTAATTGTAATTCACGGTAATTAAGTATTTACGGCAGTAGGTTAAAACAAAATCATATATATATTTTTGAGTCGTAAGCAAACATTCGACCATAATAAAGGATTAACAAGTACACAGACGAGTATGGTTCCGAAAATTAAATCAAGAAAATATTCTCAAAAATACTTAAATTTTGGATTTACCACTACTGAAGTAAATGATGGGGAAAAAAGCCCCAGCTCGTTATGTGTTAAAACTTACATATCCGAAGAACAACATGTGAAAGTTGTTTTTAAAACCCTGTAAAATCATTTAGCCGTGTTGGCAAAGAATTTTAAAAAGTATTTTCTTGTTGAGGACAACTTGGTAGCAAGTTACGAGTGGATTAGAGATCTATTTCAAGATACTTCAGAAGGGCTCTCAACTTCCGAAAAAGAAATCTTCATAGATTTCACATCCAGTGAAGAATTAAAAGGCAATTTTCTAATAAACCACTCTTTGAATTTTGGGTAGAGGTGGATGATGAATTTTCTGCACTGAAAACAAAAGCACTTCGTATACTATTACCATTTTCAACATCCTATCTTTGTTAAACCGGATTTTCTGCGGTGGCTGCTTTGAAGACAAAATATAGATCTCAGCTAATATAGAAAAATAACTCTAAGTGTCAATTTCTGATATTAAACCATCCTTTGAAAAACTTTTCTCTACAAGACAAGCCCATGGAAGTCACTAATAATTATTAAACTTGTTCTTAATTTAGTATTAAGAAATTATTTGTGAGAGAAATAAATTCTTCAGTACTGATACATTAAACGTATACTGGCTGAAACACCGGCTCTTCGCACTTCATTTTTTAAAAAAATAAAACATTCTTGATATAATAGTTGAACTGTAATTAGAGTAAAACTGCGTGCACGACATTGTATTCAAAAATGTGAAATATTTTTTATAGATAAATGCTATAATTGAAAATAACTTTTTAAAAGAACTGTAATTTTAAACCTCACAGAATTAGCATTTAGAATTAATGTTGAATTATGAAAAGAACATAAAATTTCGATGAATAATAAGTGTCTGTTACTTTTTAATATTTAAAGCAGAAATACTTCAAATTGTTTTAACCCGGGAGCAAGCGCGCACTCGATGCTAACGCTAATGGTAGTGTGGGGGGACTCATTCACCCCAATCATTTGTTTATAATTATTTTTACTGCACACGATACAAATCGGAATTCCAGTGAATAATTTAATTAAGAGAAAGTATACTTACCGGCTTTCAAGGACTATTTAATTTTTCTTTGATGATTTGAGAAAAAATCCATAAACTGAACTAAAATGATTCAAAAGTGGAAGACCTTAGGACGCAAATCAGAGACACTTTTCACTAATATTACAGAAATGTTATTTGCTGGCAAGGCTGTCATATTTTGTTCAAGAAACGGAACTAATGTAAAATTAACCATACCAGTAAGTTTGAAGGTTAATCAAATGATCAGCAAATGTATTATGCTGCCTGGCTGAAAAGTGAATCATGTCTACCTTTTCTTTCTACAACTAATGTACAGTATTTCAATAATAATTACAGTGATGAATTGTTTATCTTCTTAGAATTTTTCTCAGGGTCTGGATTTCTTTTTTCTTTTAACGAGTAATATTTTATGTTAAAAC